TGAATTAACAGAACCACGCGCCACCAACCGTGTCTCGTCACTCACGCGCCTTCTGTTTTATTTATTTATTTCTTTTATTTTTTTTTTGGACTTAATTACATTTACAATGATTACCAACCTCAGACATTTCTCTTATGTCTTGATTGGTTTTTATCTTGTCAAGTAGACTTTTATTTTATGTATTTTGTTTTTTTGGGGGGAAAGAAAAGTGACTCAAATCTCAGTCGTGAAAAATCATGAATAAATGTGAATATATTTCAAAGTTGATGGATGTTTATTCACTATAATTGTTAAAATTCTGATTTTTATTGCCAAACTGAATATAGCTCAAGTGGTTAAGGTACTATTTATGACCAAAAGGTCACGAGTTTGAATCCTCACCCCACATGTTGTTGTACTAAGAAAAAAAATGAGATTTTTTGTGAGTATAAGTAATAAACCTATATCTTCAATGATGAGTTCGATTCCTCATCCTACAACAAAATATGGTTGAATTGATGAAGTTGTAAATCTAATTTTGTTCCAAATGTTTGGGTCAGAAAGTGTGAAAAGAGAGAGAATGTTTAAGAAAATTGGGTGAGGAAATTAGATTTATTTGAAAATTGATTTGATTTGATTTGTGACAAAATAAATTACCAAATAAAATAGGTGTCCTTTATTGCAGTATTCTAGAATGGGCTATCATGACTCTTACAACATTTGTCTTTTATCAATTAAGATAACATATTCTATTCTAAGAGATAAAAAAGAAAACTTATTTAACATAATAAAAATAAATAGACCAAGGAGCAGTTCAATTTATAGATAGATTCTTGCTATTATCGTTTATAATTCATTAGTAAAATGGATATATATATTTGTGTGAGTTTGAATTTTCATCCCACATATTATGTTAAAAAGTGTTAGTCATCTAAAGCTCGAAGAAGAATCGTCGCTCGTATTTCAAATTGATAAAATAAATAAATAAAATGACATGTCCAGGAACTATATCATTGGTAATTTTCTTCTCTCTTAAATTTACTATTTTAAAAAATAGAATATATTTATAAAATAATTGACATAACACATGGGTAAATATAGAGTTACTGCAATATATTATTAACACCATAAATATAATTAGAAAGATATATGATTGTTAAAAGGAGAAAGCAAAGAATGTTTGTTGGCCTTTCTTTTCATATAAAATTTACTTTTGTGTAGTTAGATGAAGCTATCAAATTTACTTTTATCACCTTTTTCTATGGGGTCTTAAAAATTTAAACTTTTTTTTTTAATCTTTTTGATTTGTCCTAATTAAGCATGTCTCTTTTACCCACGATGAATAGGGGGTGTGAGATATCAATTTTCTCATAAATAATTAAAAAAAAAGAATCAATCTAAATATACAAAATAAAATGGTAGGTAGATCTCAATATCGTGTGATAGAATATTAAATAAATAATAGCATATACTTTATATACTTATATGAAGATTAGATTAAATATTACGTTTATGTCTCCAAAATTCAACTAAGCAAATAAGTCAGTCAACCTATCTATCCAGAGGAGTTTAAGAATGACTAAAATGGATTACATGTTTGATTATTTTGTTTCTATTTTTCACATCTACCAAAATTTTTCTTTTTCATATTGAAATCACGAAGTTTTGAATTTATCGATGTTTACATGGTTCTTCACCTAGGAGTTAACATTTGAAAAGTCAATTTTTATTTTTTAAGTCCTTACTTTTAACTCTGTTATGGATTTGATAATTAAATGCATGTCTGCTTAATTTTCTAAAAATAATTAAATTTGAAACTTTGTTTAGCGATTTATTTCTATGAATTCTAATACATCACCTAAATCTAAATCTCAAGAAATGAATATTATGGTGTAACAACTCATTTTAACGATAGAACAAAATATTAGCATATAATACAAAGTTTGGGAACCATAAATTAAGTTTTTTAATTAGACCATGCTTGAACTTTAGAGTGGCATGAAGAAGAAAATAAACGAGGATAATGATGGAGTTGACACGTCAGCTTGCTGACAAATAAGGTTATCAACAACCCTTTTTAGTCAATTCAATAATATGTTGTTTTCATAAATAAATGTCTCTATATAAATAAATAAATAATTCTTATTTTTATTTTTAGAAGACGTTGTCTTCAAATTGTATTATTTTATGGGGCATTTTTTATATCAATGTGAGTTTTTTTTAATAGGATATATACGTGAAACATCTTGATTGTTTCATCAAATTTTAGAGTTAAAAACACACCAGTATTGTTTATAAATTATATTTTAAAACAACTTTGTGATTTTTAGAAGAAATTTAGTGAAGCGTGATATGAATAACTTATTATTATTATTATTATTATTATTATTATTATTATTATTATTATTATTATTATTATTATTTCGTCTTATGTTTCATCAAATTTTAGAGTTAAAAACACACCAGGATTATTTATAAATTGTATTTTAAAACAATTTTGTGATTTTTAGAAGAAATTTAGTGAAGCGTGAATAACTTATAATTATAATTATAATAATAAGAATTATTATTATTTTCTCTTTTATTAGGTTCTTATTTTGAGCTAATTTTAAAATATTTTTTTTCAAAATTAATAAATAAAAAAATTAAAATACCGTTTTCAAAATAAATTTTCCAAACAACATCTAAATATTATTCTATTTATGGTCAAATTACACATTAATAATAAATTATATGGGATGGAGGATCAAATCTTTAATATTTATTGAAAATATATATCTTAAGCAGTTGACTTAGAATCAGAATAGTCACACAATTTAAAACAAAATTCAACTTTGATCCCACGTTATAACTTTGTTCATTTAAAAACAAAAATAATAATAGTCTTTTGGTTTCCTCTTGTTTAAAGTCAAAGATAGTGGCCTAATAATAGACAGAAATAGGGTATACATGCAAATGGTGAAAATAAAATGCACATAATTGAAATAAAATATCTACGTCACACATGAAGAATAGCCACATTTTCTAAATTACATATTGGATATTTAACATTTTTTCTATAAATAACATCTAAAAATTTTATTTAATTGTGTAATAGCCAAAATACAACACCGTAATAATTAATAACAACTACACCCACATATATTATATTTTTCATTTCAACAATTGTAAGGTGAGTATCAAATAATCGGCTTAGGACGATAATAATTAAGTGTTTGGGTAAAATATATATACCTACCGTCTATGAGGTTTTGTGCGGGTATTTATTTAGTCCCTCAAGTTTAAAATGGAACACGTTAGTCACTGAGATTTAAAAATGGTTCTAGATAGTTATTTTGTTAAAGTTGGCTATTTGTTCATGTAAGAATTTTTAAAAGATGTATTAATTTTATATTGTTTTAAGTTAGGTGGCGTATTTTTTTCCTCTCTTTTCCTTTCTCCTTCCTCTCTCCATTCTTTAAGCGGGGGGATAGGAAGGCCATTGGGGTAAAAAAAGAAGGTTAAAAAACACATTTGGTCCCTAAACTTTCATGAAAGTAACGATTTAGTCCCTGTACTTTTAAATTGGTAACAATTAAGTCCTTGCCGTTAAAAATTGGGTTATCACCCCACGCTCCACGTCATCTCATTTTTGACCGCCTTCGTAGCTCCAAGGAGCTCGAGCAACAGTCCGTCGACAAATTGGTGCACAAAATCTACACGCCAATTCTCCTCCGTGAACGCAAACTTAGTAATTATGACATTCGCTTTCGCAATATCCGTCGGCTTGTAATCAGCTTAGGAATGGTGCTAATCAAGCTATTGTACGACATGCCAAGGAAGGCAAAGACGAACTCCGGATTGTTCTTCGTTCCGTGTGTGAATCAATCTCCACACTCCCACACTAAATATGACTTTTTTCATTAAATCCAAAAAGTGCCCTTTTTTTCATTTTTTTCACATCAATTAGACCAGGTCTCCACCATTTCTCCGGCCATAGCTTCTATATGTTTCACTGCCTATAAATATAATCCTAAAATTCAATTTCTCCCTCATTCTCTAACAAAACCCACAAATAAAAGGGGTAATGATTCACATTTCATGTTCTGGGCTTTGATCCCCTGTTTCAGCTTTCGTTAAAAAATATGAAGATGATGAACACAACCAGTCTTCGGTTTGGCCAAACGAATGTTTCTGATGAGACGACGACTCTCTTGAATTTGATTTTGTTGGTAAAAGGGAATACTTTGGATTCGATATTCTCATGTCTCCGACACCGGAGCTCTAGATCTGGGAATCGAAGGGTCGTCGGTTTGCCTCTGGCAACGGGTGCTTCTGCAGACGAAAATGAATGGGTCTACGGATCTTTTTTTTGCAGGCGCAAGAATTTATTTATCACAGCAGTGGCAAGAAGAAATTTTACAGAGGAGTGCGGTAGAGATATTGAGGGAAATGGGTAGTGGATATTCGGCCGCCGTGTAATTAGATGAGGGTCTGGTTGGGGACCTAGGAGTCGCCGGAGGCTACCGCCTACAACGGGGGAATACGCGCGATTGAATTTCCCCGATCTTAAGAATCAAATGTGTTTTTTAACCAAAAAAGAATTATAATGGCGCGTTAGAGAGACGGGAAAAGCTGGCGCGTGAGTCAACGAGATAGTTACTAAACTTTTGGTGAGTGGGGCCCGCGGTGGGAATTGATGACCAGAGGGAATGGATGGGTCCAGCGTGTGGGGCCACGCGGTTGACCGCGATTGGGTTTCACTACCAAACAAAATAACTTTGCGCGCAATAACAACAACAAATAAATAAATAATAAATAATAAAAACACAACCACTCTCATTCTGTCTTATAACTAATAATAATACTCTCCTGCGATGCAAAAATAATAATACTCCAATTATCGTTTGGCGCAAACGCCGTCGTTTTAAGCCCACATTTTCCCTCAAGTTCATTTCGCATCTAGAATCCGACACCAACTCAGAAACACATGTGGTTTATCCAATCTAACAGAGGGAGAGGGAGAGAGAGAGAGAGGAATTCAAATTTCAAGTTCTTATCAACTGTATATATAAAACCAAACAAACGACCAAAACGAACAGAATTGGCATTCAATCAAGCTCAGAGGGAACATGGCATTAATATAATTACTTCTCAATATCAACCTTATTATATCTATCTCCCCTCTGCAGCTGTCTACGCGACACCCAATATATAGTTTGTAGTTATCTCGAATTAAACATGTATTTGAGTCGTCATTATTTGTCCTATATGCTATATACATCAAGACGATTTTGGAAAATCGGGAAATTAAGCATTCTTAATCATTTAATGCCATAAGATCTTTGAATAAAAATGTAAAATTTCCAGCCCTACAGTACTATATATGGAACTGTTTCCAATACCAACATTGATACTCTGTTGGAACTATTTGTTTATTTAACCTAAAATTACATGAAGCAATAAACTAATTGAACTAGTGGTGATATTAGTAAATCCTAAATGATAGACTTGTTTGCTGACAATCATAAACTAAAAGAGAAAACTGTAAAGGTTTGTGGTTAGCCACTCACAAGAAAACATACAATACTGTTCAAAACGAGGGGTTGCCAGCAAATGGGGGTCGAAAGTATTAAATACTTAGTAACTAAGCTTCAGAAAAGAGGATATCAAGAAAAAAGAGAAAAAAAGAGAATCGTGGCTACTGAAATTAATGTCAATTATTTATTTCTCAAAGTTATACATTATGGATATATTGGCTATTAAAATATTTTGGCCAAAGCATTCATTTTGCACAATATTTATATTTGCTACTCCGATGGGAAAGGGGACAAATAAGTCACATGGGCTGCTATGTTTTTGTTTGTATGCAGGTTAGCCAATAATTAATTAAAATAGTGTATTATCTATAATGCATAGAGCAAGCTAATATTCGCAATAAAGATGAGAAGAAAAGCAATACTTTGACAATAAACGAGTATGAAATTTTACTTTTATTAATTATGTATTTTGATCCGATGAAAACGCAACACGTTAATGCTTGGAGACAAATCTACGCACGAAGAGAACAGTTTAGTATTTTTCATGAAAATTAGAGGTAAAATGAGTATGAAAATAATTATTAACTATTACTCACTGACAGTGCGATATATCTACAAGCCACAATTTCCATTGCTTGATCAAATTTATAAAATTTCGTGAGTTTAGATAATCAATAAATGTTTCTAATGCCATGAAAATACTATATTCAACTTCCTACTTTTGCATTTTATTACTCTTATTTTACTTATTTATTGTAAGTTCAAAATTGAACAAAGATTATTTTCAAAGAAAGAAAATCATAAACATATTCTGAGATAATTCTTTTTTTAAGTTAAATAATCAATTTTGTCATGATAATTTTAAAAGTTTAGATTTAATCTCATGATTTAAATCTCCTCCTTGTATTAGAATTATTGCATGTTACTCATTATTTTTCATTGCCACATTCATAGAAAATGTGTCACGCTGCCAAAAAAATGAGTTATGCAAGAAAACTATCAACATTAAACAACATAAAAAAATTTAGAAAGGTTTAACAAAATCGATGACTAAATTGAAACTAAACACTTCAAACTAAATTAAAATAAAGTATTAAAAAATAAAGACTAAAATATTAATTTAACCTTATTTATTATGCATTC